TTTTACTTTATATTAATATAACTTAAAATAGTTATACAAAAACAAAATACAAAAAAAAAAATTACACTAACCCGGCCCGGCCCCACCCCTTGTACCCGTAACCCTTACGGTTCATTTTTTACCCGGATGAACCCGAACCCGTTAAACCCGGTAAGCCCCAATCCGTAACCGGCCCGAACCCCAACCTGTACGGTTCCTAAATTTTCCTACCCGGCCCGGCCTGGCCCACCCGCTAGACACCCTTATTTGTTACACAATAAAGACAACAACTGCAAAAGGAATTTATTTTTCCCTGTAATGTAATTTAAATCTATCTTATCATGTAATATTTCCAATTAAGGAGTCACCACTATTTGTATCAATATTTCTTAGTCAAAACTATATATTCTTTTTTTTTTCTTTTGATAAATGTTGACTCTTTTGAACTATGAGATCCTTATCTAAAATTATCATTGAGAATGAAATACCAAAATGGTGAACACATACTTCTCAATGTAATTTTTGCAAAGTCACTCGATCACCAACTTTGCATCTCTCTATTTTAATATCTCAATATATCATAATGGCAGACACAACATCAATGCACAAGTGAAGGAAACTACTGTAGATTTAACTTTAAGAGCAAGAAACGGTGAGATTCTAAACATCTTTTGAATAAAAGAGTGATGCTCCAACTTTGTTATTACCAAAAAGTCACAAACGAAAATAAACTGAATGAGGCTTCAATGAAATCTTTACAAACTATTTTCTTTTATGTTACTTTCTCACATAACCCTGTGATTCAGCAAGCGCTGTTGCATGAAGCTGCAAAGTTCATTGTAAGACACCGGACAATTGTTTTTTAGGATTGCCTATAGTCCTAATTGGACTCATTATCTTCTTGGATAAATGCCTACCACAAATTTGATTTGTCATTCTTGTTTATTTCATCTTCTTCATGTTCTCTAACTTAATTTGTATCTATATTGATGTGTTATCAATCTAATAACTTTGGATATTTTTTTCACAATGATACAGGAATAAAGTAGTATTCCCTCCGGTCCAAAATAAGTGATTTTTTGGCCTTTTTCTTGTGGTCCAAAATAAGTGATTTTTCCAGATTTCAAGAATGAATTAATTATTTTTTTCCTACATTGTCCCTGGAGTAAATTGTGTTGGAATATGTGTTAGGAGTGTTTATGTGAGATAGTAAAGGTTAGTATGGTCAATTCCATTGCTAATTATTGCTAAAACGTGGATTTCTTAATCTGTATGAAAACATCCAAAAAATCACTTATTTTGAACCGGAGGAAGTATCTTTTTCAGTTTAACATATTTAAATCTCTGGTTCCCCTTCACATTAGGACCCTTGGACCGAGGACTCTTAGAAAGAAGGATTACCGTACTGGGTTACCCTCATTAAGAACAGACTTTTTTCTAAGTAAAAATATTTAAAGCTCCCTAAGCCTGTATATTTTGTTAAATGGAAGTATGTGTTTGTCATCAACCTAATGCTCTTCCCTCTTTCTGCAAAATGCAGGAAAGTTCAGGCCTGCCTTGCTCGCAAATGCGAGTACTCCTTCGCAAATGCGAAATTTCCCCGTTCAGCCTTGGGTCGCAAATGCGACCCATTCTTCGCAATTCACATAGTCGCATTTCCCATATCTGCAGAGGTCGGGGTTCGCAAATGCGAACCCCTGTTCGCAATTCCCACATCTGAGACCTGCAATTTCTTATACTTAGCCGATTTTTAGACCCATTTTTCATATTCTCTCAAACACAAACATACTTAGGCGATTTTTCAAGAATTCCTTCTCCTCCAAATCAATTGTAAGTCGTTTTTGACTAACTTCCTTCAATTCTTATCATCTTTTAGCATGATTTCAGCTTAAAATCAAGGATTTTCATGGGAGAAATTGGGTGTTTTGGGTAGAACCTAAGTTTTTCAAAAATTGGGGATTTGGACCTCGATTTGAGGTCCGATTTCAAAATAAATTATGTATTTGAGTTTGTGGGGGAATGGGTGATCGGATTTTGGTTCGAACTTCGGGTTTTGACCATGTGGGCCGGGGGCGATTTTTGACTTTTGGGCAAAACTTTGGGAAATTCATTTTCATACATTCAAATCGATTTATTTAGCGTTTATTGATGAAATTAAGTAACTTGTGACTAGATACGAGCGAATTGGCGGTGGAATCAAGGGGTTAAGCTATAATTGAAACTTGAGTTGTGTTCGTGGCATCGAGGTAAGTGTCCGGTCTAACCTTAGCTTGAGGAATTAGGAGTCGTGTCCTATTTGCTAATTGCTTCTTGTTGAGTACGACGTATAGGCATGGTGACGAGTATCTATACGTTGGTGTCGAGCATGACCGTGAGTCTTATATTGACAGTTGTTGTGTTCTTAAAGGTTGCTATGGATTCTTTAATTGATGATTCCCGATATTGAGCAAAGTTTTGGTTTATTCTCGTGGATTTTATTCATGATTAAGTATTGGTGCTATTTGAGCTGAGTAAGAATTGAGTTAGGATTGGTTATAGCTGACTGTCCCTTGCCGGGATGTTTGTTTTGGTATTGTTGTTCCCTTGCCGGGAAGTGATTACATCGCTTTTGTTCCCTTGCCGGGATTTCCTTGTGATTTTGTGTTGGCTTGTAATGGGATCGGATGGTACGCCTACCACAAGATATAATGAAATGGGATCGGGTGGTACGCCTACCACAAGATATAATGAAATGGGATCGGGTGGTACGCCTACCACAAGATATGATGAAATGGGAGCGGGTGGTACGCCTACCGCAAGATACTATGAAATGGGAACGGGTGGTACGCCTACCACAGGATATGAGAAATGGGATCGGGTTGCATGCGTGCAACGAAATGTGAACCGACAGTGAGATCTGCCTTTGTTTTTCTTATCCTTGTTAGAAGTTGAATTTTGGTTTCCTTATAGTTCTCGTGAGATTTCGTTTATCTGTTATTCCCCGAAACATGTTTCCCTTCCCAGCTTTAAATGTTTGTTCTAGTTTATCTTTCCGCTGTGTGTGTGTGTATATATATATATATAACTGCACAGGTTTATATGGAGTCTGGTCCTAGCCTCGTCACTACCTCGCCGGGGTTAGGCCAGGCACTTACCAGCACGTGGGGTCGGTTGTGCTGATGCTACAGGTACCGAGGCAGCATTGGGACAGCAGCAGTAGCTCGGGAGCCAGCCTTCAGTCCACAGAGATCCCGAGGTAGTCCTGCAGGCGTCCGCAGGCCCGACGTCTCTTCTATCTATTATTATGTTCTGTTATTATGTGTATCCGAGACAGACTGAGTTTCTTTCTGTCAAACATTTGTATGTAGTAATCCTAGATAGTCCGTGAATGTAGTGACACCGGTTTCTGGGTAGAGACACATGTTGGCTTTTCGTATTTGTATTTTGGCATTATATTAACCTAAGACTTCCGCTAAATTTCATCTTCCGCTATTGTTTATATGTTCATTATTTGTTGATGCAAGTTGTTAAAAAGAATTAAAATGAACGAGTTTGAAGATTTCTAAATTTCTTGGCTTGCCTAGCTTCTACGAGTAGGCACCATCACGACTCCCGAGGGTGGGAAATCCGGGGCGTGACAATCTCCGGCTGGATAAATCCCACTGATTATGTTGTTTCATTTAAGTTCATTTGAGACCAATAAAGTACAAAATAAAAATAAAACATTAAATGTACTTGAATTTCTCTAACAAAATCCCTGCATATATTATTTTCTATGGCAAGAATAAGAGACTCCTAAAAACATAGGATCTAAAGTAACTTAGGACGTAAAAAAACATAGGTCGACACTAATTTAAGCCTAAGAAGAAAAAGAAGCTAATCTAAGCCTCTTAAACAAACCGAGTAAACTTTAATTTGAATCCGAAGGGAGAGGGCATTTAGGGTTGTCTCGTCTGAATAAAAAGTTCTATATTTCTTCCTTATAATTGCTGGTTTTGATCTACTGAAGAAATGTCATAGTTATAAACACCGAGCTCCCAACTATTCTGTTTTCTTAAGCTTTTCAGATTCCAGTTATTTTTTCTTTTTTTAATTATTTGGGTCGAGCCATCAAGTGTTCTTGATAGGGGGAATTCTGCTGAAAGAATAATTAACTGTGGAAGCACTACTTTGAGACATGGTTAATTAATATGTATTTCCATTTTAATTTATAACTCTTAAATTTAAGTTTATCACTTTGGCGTAAAAATTGGATACGAATAAATTCTTTTCTATTTGGCCTGCTAGTCAAATAAAACTTAAACAGTTCAATGCCAAATAAAACTTAAAACATTGTTTTGAACTTCTTCACAAATCACAGGTGTTACCCGGTAGTCAAACTTGTGTAATTTTGTCTTTCTATTTTCCCAACACAAGGTAATTAAACAATACTTTCTTCGGTTCACTTTAATTGTATTTGATTTTTTCGTATATTAAGAAGGAATCAATTTATTTTTTCCCAAAGTTGTCCTTGGAATAATGAGCCTATGAGTATTTGTTATATTTCAATGAACAAATTAAGGTTAATATAGTCAATTTCATTGTTAATTAATGCTAAAAGGTGAATTCCTTAATGTGTCAAAACAACCAAAAAATCAAGGGGTATTATTACTTTTAGCCCACGCCAGAAATTATTTACATTTGGTAGCCGAAAAAGTGTATAAATTTATATAATTTTTGTATATAACATACAATATATATATATATATATATATATATACAAAAAAAATATACAAAAAAAAAAAAATTCGGCTATTATTTTGAGAGCGGCTATAGAATGTTATTTTCTCAAAAATCAATTAAAGTGGACGGGAGGGAATAGAAATCAGTTCTGTCACGCAACAACACTGTAATTCTCACCCAAATTGAATGATCAGAACTGAAAATCACACTTCATGGACAATCTAATTAATACTCTCCTACACAAAATCTATAAAACTCTGCTAATTACTTACCACCAGCTAACAAAGAAAATGGCAGCCAAGAAACTAATAGCACTAGTAATAGCTTTTTTTGCACTTGTATTGGCAATTCAAAGGCCAAGCAATGCATTGAAAATACTTGAAGATCCAATCTGCGAAGAAGTGAATGATTGTTTTGAGTATTGCGAAGATTTTATAGATGGGATTGCGCGATATGCAACCCGAGAGTGTTGTGACAATTTACTTATATTGAATGGCAGGGTGAAATATGTGGACAATGGAGTTCGTAGGTATTGTTATTGCATTGAAGATTTCACTAATAGCCATTACCATCCTCCTTATCTTCAGAATCGGATTGGAGATCTTACTGCGATTTGTGGTATTCATCGTAGTTTTCCCATTTCAGAACACATGGATTGCTCTAAGTAATTTCACTTGCTCTCCTTTATATATTTCTCTCTTATCCATTTTTCTTTATTTTGTTTCACTTTTGTTGTATGTTCCTTTGGGTATTTTCGTAGTAACTAACGAATATGATTTTTGTCTTTCAAAATTTGGTGCTTGCAGGCTTTAGCAAGAGCTTTGAGGAAGTTGTTCGTTCGACTCTGATGCTATATCAATTAGAATATCATTTATTTTCTTTCCTTTTCCTCAACTTTAATTGGAAGTATAATGATATGCGTAAATGACAGTACATTAGTTATGTTACGCGGCGCCTTCCTGAGATTCCTTGGAAGGGCGACGTAAGGCTAGGCAACTGATGTCAGTGCAGTTGCTGTCCGCCAACTGAGGTCCCCTCCGTACGCTAGACGAGATTGTCAGTGCCGTACGGGAAAACCAATGTCAAGAGCAATTGAGAGAACCGAAGTGAGAATTCAGAATGAAAGAAAGCTTGATTGCATTAATGAAAGCTATTACAGAAAAGCAACGCGGTGTCGAGGGGGAGAGACACCAGTACAGAGAATTGCTTGCTTGCTAGAAAGTTTTGATTGCTTGATCCCCCCTAATAGTCTTAAAAAAAATAATCCAAAGTTACAAGACTAGACTTGACTAAGCTAGAGAAACATAATGGAAGTACATGAAATAAAACTACTCTATATTTACAATGAAAATGACTTAGTTTTCTATAAGGCAGCAGCAGGTCCGTTGTCAGCAGCAGTGTCTTTGGCATCACGGTCTGCGCGCGCGGCGTTGTCTGCGCGCGCGGCGCTGTTGGCTTCTGCCTGTGACTTGGCGCTCGCGAGGGATATCGGTGGGGCGACAGAGGCACCTGCGCGCTTGTCACTTGGCGCGGCCAAGACCACGGGGCCGTCCGTGGCGCTAGGCATTGGGAGGTTCGCTAGGACGCCACGGGGCGCGCCCAAGGGGTCATGGGGCATGGCTGGAAAGCCGCCCATGACAGTTATTATTCACCATGTTATGGCACTGCGTTATAATACGTATATATCTTGTATGTTAACGAGGAGCGAAGCTATATGTGGTCAAGGGTGATCAACTAAACATCTTTTGCTGAAATATGTTATATACAGGGTCAATATGTTATTAATAAATAAATAAAAAATAAACTCTAAATACCTTTGCAAAGTCCACCGGCAAAGATTATTTAAAATTTGAATATTCTTATTGAATTTTTTGATTTCGCCTTTATTGCTAACCACAAAACACCTGAAAAGCTACCTTTTGATAGGTACAAAATGCATTCAACTCCGCGACACTATTAATATATATATATATATATATATATATATATATATATATATATATATATATATATATATATATATATATATATATATATATATGAGAAAGAAGAGAGGTTTAACAAAGAGTAATATTTTTATTTTTTATATAATCAGAAACATGAATGGATTTGCTAAATATGTAGAACAGCCATTCAGCAAATGATTCATTGCCAAAAATAGGCAAGTTGAATATATATTATAACTAGAATATCAGCACTTGCATATCCATATAATTATTCAAACTCTATTTCATTGTCACAATTAGGGGTATACAAAGGAAACCGATAAATCATACCAACTCGATAATCCGAATCAAATCGAGAAAAAAAACCCGACTACGGTTTGGTTTAATTTGGTTTGGTGTTGGAAAAAAAAACCTGACCATAATTGGTTTGGTTTGGTTTTAACTAAAGAAAGTAAAACCGAAACCAAACCAACCCGACATTGCATATATAGAAGTTTTAGATATATTTAATATATAAATATACTTATTGTGATGTAACTTATAAAGATTTATTAAACTTTTTCATAATTTTATCTTTTAAGGTATTATTTCAAGGTTGGACTTAGAACTTTTGAATGTTCCAATAAGTTTTATAGCCATTAATATTAGTAACTTAAATAATGCTAACAAANGGGCTAGGGAAAAGAAAAGTGCAACATAGTCGAGACAAACCAAGGAAAATTTACATAAGAAATAAGCTTTAAACCAGTAGTTCAAGTACTTCAGCAACCGATCCACCAACGACAGAGAAGAGAGGGATTGAGAGAAAACTGAATATCTATTTTTGTTTTGCAATAATTTAGATAAAAATGCATAATCTATTTTTATTTTTTCTTTAGCGTTTAGTCATGTAATTAATACTTCCTTATTAATCTACTTATTTTAGCATGACTTAGTACTTTTAGATTATGTTTATTTTTATTATGGCTTTTTAATTAGCAATATCTATATTACATAATCTTATTGTCTTTATTGTTGAATATTCTAGGATAATGTCATGACACATCTCATATTTTGTATTATATTCTTGTAAAAATACCTTATATAGTTGTATTTTACTAGGATTAAAGAAATATTTTGAGCACAAGTTATATGTTTTGTTCTACGAAGATTTTATCGGGAAAAACCCCAAAAAACCCCGAAAAACCCGAGATAAATCGAGATTGAAAAATCCGAGTTTTATTGGTTTGGTTTGGTCTTTATATTTAATAACCCGACACAATTGATTTGGTTTGATTTGGTAATTGCAAAATCCGAACCAACCCGACCTATGTACATCCCTACTCACAACTATTTTAGCGTTGACAACAAATTCAAAATGCATTATGCATGCATGAAAGTAGGTGGAAAATTATCACAAAAAATAAATAGACATGTCCCCATCCTGGAATTTTTAATCAAACTAGGCGTTTATCAAAACTATATGTTTAAAAATAGACAAATCGCCGGGAGCCAAAGAGACAGGTTAAGTGTAAAAGTTTGTTCAATTATACAACCAAATGTTTTATGCAAGACTATGGTCTATGTATATGATATTTCTATTATATAGAGAAGGGAAGATGGTCGACCAAGGGTATAATTGGTATTTCAAGTTAACCTATTGCTTAAGTGAAGAACACGTGTTAAAAGCCTCCCTTACCTTCCTCCGTCTTCCACCGTCAAACAAAATACAGAGATACTGGTGTGTTCCATTCCTGACGTTTCCTATGATTCATGAATTTCCTCTCAGGTTTATTCTTCTCTTTCTCCATTTAAATTTATTTAGATTTGTTTATTTCATGAATTTCCATCTCATCTAAGACCATATGAATGGAAACTGCATCTCATTCTTACTTCTCTTTTATTACTTAGCTGCTCTGTCGTCTATTCTATCTCCCAACCATCTTGCTATGAGAACCTTTTTATTGATTGATTTCAAACTGGGTTGAATTGCCAGGGAAATTGGTGCGCTGCATATTAGAGGGGCTAAACTCCTTCTACTCCAACACTGGCGAGGACTCAATTCATTATTTACTCAGTAATTTCTAATTATCTATACGTAATTCTTTATATACTTCAAAAACTTATCCACATTTATCTTATCACTTAATGAGTTACAATTGCTTAATTCATTTTGTTACGAAATAATCGAGTCAAAGCAATTTTCTATTTTCCCTTTAGCAGGTTAGGTCATGGTTAAATGGGTATTTTTAATCTTTTAATGTTGGGTTGAAAAAGAAATATAAAAAATAATATTTAATATGTTCTAAAAGTGAAGAGTGACTTTTGAGTTACAATTGACAAAATATAATGATATTCCCGTTGCAAAAACAAAGTAAAGTGACTCTCATCAATTTCTTTCAATGACTCTATGAGAAATGAACTCGGGATTTAATGATGGTTTTAACATTTTCTAATTTGTTACAGTAATAGTTTAAACTATACCCTTTTCGGGTAATGCTGGATCAAAGGAGTACAACTTTCGATCAATATGTTCTTTGTTTTATGAATGCTATCACATTTTATTTTTGATGTGTTATTTCTGAATTTTAAAGTAGCATCATTTGCCCTTTTTATTTTTCTATTTTCTTCTCGAACATAAAAAATAAGTTTGATAGATGAATGAGCTCATATTTTGGAGAGTTAGCATTTAGTTGATTTACTTAACATAATATGTGAGATTTCGTATTTGCGATCTAGCCTTCGCATTTGCGAGCCAGGCTTGCGAAGCCTGCAGGCCTGGGCACACCAACAAATTTTCTGCAATTTTCCAAGTTCCAAATGCACCCCGTGGCCTATCCAAAACTCACCCGAACCCTCGGGGCTCCGAACCAAGTATACACACTAACTCAATAACATCATACAAACTTATCCGTGCGATCAAATTGGCAAAATAACATCATAAACATCGAATTAAACCTTAAAATCCATGAATTCTTTCAAACTTCTTAAAACATCAAATTTTCCAATTTAGGTCCGAATCACATCAAACGACATCCGTTTTTCACCAAATTTTACAGAAATGTCCTAAATCATATATAAGACCTGTACCGGGCGCCGGAACAAAAATACGGGCCCGATACCATCATGTTCTAATCAAATTTCATTTCAAATTTCCTTAAACAATTTCTTTTAAAAATTCATTTCTCGGGCTTGGGACCTCGGAATTCGATTCCGGGATGCCCAAGTCCCGTATTTTCCTACGGACCCTCCCGGACAGTCAAATCACGGGTCTGGGTCCGTTTATCCAAATTGTTGACCTCAGTCAAATTAATTCATTTATTAGCCAAATTTTATCATTTTTCATAGATTTTTATATTTAAGCTTTCCGGCTACGCGCCCGGAATGCGCACGCAAATCGAGGTGACTCTAAATGAGGTTTTCAAGGCCTCGGAAGCACAGAATTTAATTCAAAAGCAAGTGATGACCTTTTGGGTCATCACATTCTCGACCTCTAAAACAACCGTTCGTCCTCGAACGGACATAAGAAGGAAGTACCTGAGTCGGGAAAAAGATGGGGATAACGGCTCCGCATATTGGACTCGGACTCCCAGGTCGATGCCTCAGCAGGCTGACCTCTCCACTGGACACGAACAGAAGGGAAACTCTTCAACCTCAACTGACGAACCTGCCGGTCTAGAATAGCTGCCGGCTCCTCCTCATAAGATAAGTCCATTTCCAACTGGACAGTGCTGAAATCTAACACGTGGGAGGGATCGCCGTGATACCTCCGAAGCATGGACACATGAAACACTGGATGCATGGCTGCTAAGTTCGGTGGTAATGCAAGCCTATAAGCCACCTCTCCCACTCGATCAAGGATCTCAAACGGACCAATATACCTAGGTCTAAGCTTGCCTTTCTTCCCAAATCTCATCATGCCCTTCATAGGCGACACTCGAAGCAATACCCGCTCACCGACCATGAAAGCCAAATCTCGAACCTTGCGGTCGGCATAACTCTTTTGCC